GGCAAGAAGCCTTGACCGTTATGGGCCATTAAAAGCGCACCCGGCAAACAAATGAGGCAGGCCCAGCGAACTTCAGACAAAAAGGGCGTCGTCTGAGGAGCCAGAGAAGCAGCATCATCACGGCCATTCAGTCAGTCAGTCCTTCAGTCATTCAGTCAGTCAGTCAGTCAGTCAGTCAGTCAGTTGGCCAGGCTGCTTTTCTAAGGATGTGCCAAAGTGTCCTGGCTTTGAATAATTAAACCGGAGCAGTTCGCTTTCAATTAAGATGTCGACACGCAGTCGGAGTCGGAAGGCAACGGATACTCGAGGCTTTGGCTTTAGCTTTGGCCAAAAGGACACGGCCAGAAGCCTGAAGAGCCCTCCAGGACTTTGGGTGCCGTCGTGTATTCTTTAGCTCCTCCGCAGAGTGCGTGCCCCCAGGTGGCGAAACTTGAAATTATATTTCATTTTCGCTGCATAATTAATTTTTTCTTCACACTCTGCAGTAGGGGAATTAAATTTGCTTGTTTATGGCTGGGCAATTAAGTTATTTGTTCGGCTCGCGTGCTGTTTTGCATTATTTTCGAAATCAATAGAGCCTTGGCATCGACTTGAATCCAAATGTGAGCCAACCAGGGGCCGATGGACGTGGAAAATTCCATCCTCGACATGCAACGGCCTTCCCAAGTAGAAAAACAAAAGAAAAAGCGGCTTAAGTGCCGCCAGGCGGCTTTTCTTCTCCATTTCCAAGGCGATTTCCACGGTTTGACTCGGCCGACTGGCATCATGTGCTTAACAAATAAGCGAAACAGCCTCTAAGGTCCCCGGAGATTGGGACTCCTCAAAATCGCGGTAGTCGGGCACTTTGACAAGTGCTGCCGGCTGCAAGGAGCAGAGCACAACTTTCCGCCTGGCCAGTGATGGCCAACATATTTTTAATTAAACGTCAGCGCGATCCTGGCCCGACTTTCGAATGCAGCTGCGTAATTACCACGCAGGTGGGCATTAACGAAAATTCCCGAGCAACCGCATCATAGGAGGTTGCTACGTGGCTCGGAGCCTTTAAGCGCTCCTTTAAGCCGGCGACTCAGTTAACCCTCTCCGCTCCAAAAGCGCACACAGACAAAGGCCAACAGGGAGGAGCACTTTCGAGTACTTACCGAGTTGCCCACCTGCTCCTGCAACCCCGTGTCCTGGATCTCGCCTCTCGTCCTGGCCACCGGCACCTGAAGCTTGTTTTGCGCTTGCTTTCACCTCTTTTCCCAGCACTCAAGTGCTGAAAAGTGTTTTTAGCACACTTTAGGACACAGTCTCGGGGGGCGGAAGGGGGTGGAAGCTGTTGTGGAAAGCCGGAAAACAGGCAACACTGCAACTGTAAGCGTCCCAAACTATTTAAGCATCCCCTGCGTCTCAAGTTGTCTGCGGAGAATGTTAATTGGGGAACGAGGAGTCCCGGGACTGCACAGCAAACAAATGTGCAAGGATGCATTTGAAAAGTAGCATCATGTGCACTAATAATTACTTAAAAATCTAATATTGATGAGGAAATTGTAGGTAAGCCATATTTTTCAATCTATGCGGTTGGAGGTGCCACCTCATGCCATGTTTACAGTGAGCTATGAGCACTCATTATTGGCCAAGTCGCCAACTACGCGTGTGTGTGCGTTTTGGCCATAAATAATGGGAGCCTGGTGGAAAAAAGCTGTCAACTTCACGTCGAGCTCCCTGCTAAGTCAGCATTATCACCAGCGAACAGTGTCTGCGGCACCATCATCATTAGGCGACTTTTGAGCCCCGGAACGTCCTTGGACACTCGCATGGATTTGGGTGGGCGTGGGGCGTGGGGCGCGGATCTGGCTGACAAAATGCCTTTGACATTTACAAATGAGGCCCGCCAGCGAATTAATGAGCCACGCCCAATTAGCAAGTGCGTCACATGCGGGAGTCGCAGCAGCCAGGAGCAGCTCCTGCCTAATGTATTGGAAAATGGAATTGGAGCCGATGCTGTGACAATTTCTTGGGCAGCAGCCATTTCTTCCAGCGCCTCGTCTGCAGAGGCAACAATTTAATTAATATTACACAGACTGGCAGGAATCTTCAATGTAATTTTCTCGCTTACCCACTTCGAGGATGCAGGCTGGCTGGCTGGCTGGTGGGGCCCAGGATGCGCGGGAGGACATCCTGCGCCGGGCCGCAGACAATGGAAAGCCAGGAGCGCACTTGAGCACAGTTTGAGGCGGGTTGAATGCGCCGCGCCTATAAGTGTGCACTTGAAGCAGCCGGCGGGCCAGAACTCGGCCCCAAAACCGCCAGCCCGCCCAGGCTGGTTATAAATATAAAAATGGCGGACCAACGAGAACGAAAGGAAGCCAATTCTGGGGTTCCTCCTCCACTGCTCCACTGCTCTAAAGGTCCACTGGCTCACTGGTCCACTGAGCCACTTTCGGCGCAAAACTTATTACATTATAATATTCATGCCACCCAGAAGGGTTTGGGCTAAGACGAGCTACGTGCCCACATGGTTGCGAAACAAATCGGTTAACGACCTCTTGAAAATATTAAGGAACATTTTGAGTGGTTTCTGCATGGATCCGAGCATTTAAGGGTATTTTTGTGAGGCAACGCTGAATTAGTAGGCAGAATGCTAGTGAGGCATCAAGGAAATCGTTTAGTTTCCATTTCCGTTTACTTGCAGCGCATGCATTTTGAATGCAATTTCCTGGCCGGGCCAGCGCCATAAATTGTCATTTTTCCCTAGCCTGCAACTAATATACGCTCGTTGTCTCCGCAGGATCTTCAAGACCACCGGCCGCTCCGTGCAGGAGGACGTCAACCTGCTGCACGCCTCCGTGCTGTCCATGGTGGAGTTCGACGATGATATATTCGCGGCCGGAAACTGCTTCGACTGGAACGAGCATCCCGCGCAGCCGGGCCTCTTCTGCCCGTTCGCCTACCGGCTGCCGCCTCCGAATCTGGGCGCGGTGTTCGCCAAGGATCTGGCCATGGAGTACCACTATCTGGGCAACACCTCCGAGTGGTTCTTCCTGGCCCGCAAGAACGCCGAGAAGGTGATAGCCCGCAACGAGCAGTACCTCAAGTGTAAGTATTTCGGGGCATGCCCCTCTGATTTATTTGCCTGATTTATGGGTAACCCCGATAGCAGCATACGCGGCATTCTATGTGTATTTTTGGGAGCCTTAATCTGCGACTTCATTAGTCACCGCCCAGACATCGGGCTGCGCATCCTGTTGGTCCTGCCTAATTGCGTATATTTTACCCGGCTTTATCACCGCCAAGGGCCGAAAATGTCGCCTGACAGCGCAACAATTAAGCCACAATATATAGTGAAATCGCACTGGGTTGCCTTTAACTTGGCAACTCCACTTTAAATGGAAATTACCTGCCCCACCCAACGCCAATCCACCAGTTCCGTTTGTAATTAGCCGGATTCCGTGTGCTCTGCCGAGCATCTAATCCATTCTCACGGCCTTCCGCTTGACTGTCCGCAACGCTGTCCGTAAGGCTGTCCGTATGTCCGCATGATTGTCCGTAGGGCTGTCCGTATGGCTGTCCGTGGGGCTGTCCGTACTTGGCGGTGATGCGTGAAAGCTAATTTTATGCAAGACCCGCCACGCAGCATCCTCAAGGATATCAAGCCCGGTATCTGCCTTTAAATCTGCAATATTGGAGGCGAGGCGATGGACGGCATACTAATGAATTTTAATGATGTTTGGCGTGTTCCATACCACCCATCCTTGGCACTCACTTGTCCAACAGTTTGCATAACTTCGGAAAATGCACTCGACACGAGCGCGCCGCAGCATTTCAAAATAATTTGCAAATTAAAGGTTACGGTGCGCCACGCCGCGTCGCATCGCCAGCCGCATTCCCCATTTGCCGGCTTTCCCGTTTTCCCATTTTCCCATTTTCCGGCTTGCGTGTGCAACGCTGGCATGCAAATTATTTGTTTGCTTGCCTACAACTAATACTAAATGCCGCGGTGGCGCCACTACATGGGCTTTTCACTGTTCACTGCGCGAATTGGACGGCGAATGTTCGTATTTACTTAATGCTCTTTTCCTTCAAGCCAAAGTTAGTACTTCAAGTCTAGGTTCATTTGGCATGTTGCATTTTTATGTACCACAGCACTTCCTTCAGGATCAAGCTGAACTTCTCCCTTCAACTCTGCAGATAGAAGCCCATAAAAACAACACTCACTTTAAAAAGCGTAGATTGAAGATTGTTTCTGCCTGACCTTTAATATGCGAGCATAACCTTCAAGATAACTTGGTGGGTATTTTGCGCCGTGTGACCACACAGACAAGTATCCCCCACCCGTATCCGGAGATCCGGAAACCCGGAAAACCGTACTGGGCCGCAGGCTCAGGCCTGCAAATTGCATGGGCGAAATTGCATGAGATGCCGCTGAAATATGTGTGTTACGTATACGCCGTGTGTTCGATCGCTCCCCACAACCCGACTCTGGCTGTGACACTGGCCCAGCCCACTCAGCATGTCCTCCGTGGCCAAGGGAAAACAAATGGAATCGAAAACAAACATTCCGCAGAGCGGGCGGCCATTGTGGGTGGGCATGGCCCATGCATACTAATGGCATTTGGGCACAGCCAAAAGCTGATTGCAGGCTGGCAGCCAACTATTTGCCATGGATAGATGGATAGAAGTTCGCTTGTTCGCAAATTGAAAAGACTGCCTGGGAAGAGCGAGCTGGCAAAATTATATTTGTGGCCCTAACAATGAGCGAAAGCGGTGCCTGTTTGACATCGGGTCATTTATCTAGCGCATAAACTTCTTTAAGCCCGCCAAGTTTGATTTATCGTACTGCCCTTCAATGTGTGCGAATTTGCATGGGCCCTTGCAAAGTGCGAGTGTTGTAGTTTTTAAAGGACATTCAGGACACTCGCGGAGTGCGGCCGTCATCACACCACAACCAATTTGCGGCCTATTCGAGCGCAATTAATTTGATTATTTGTTTGCGGTGCACAAGGCAAATGTTTCTCCTCTTTATTTGCCGCCGAAAAAAGCCAATTTGCGAAGTGATTACCTTTTCATTGCATAATTAATCATATTTTTTGCCAATCGCCGGCACAGCGGCCATCGAAATGCACAATCGAATCGAGTGCTTTTAATAGCCTTCCGCTGCAGCGAAATCACTTTAATGGCTGTTAAATTCAGAAAATGATTAATAACCTCGGTTTAAGTGCACTTAATGCAGTAATTTAGCCTAATTGGTCGTGGGAACGGCCAGTGTTTAGACAGCCATGAAAAGTCATCAACTGATTGAGTGCGTGTAATATGCTATTTACTATTTGCTGTAATTGGGCGAAAAAACTGAATCAATCGCATGGAAAAATGGCTTAAAAGGTGCTAATTACGCGGAGAGCACTTTAAATTCGGCCAAGATTTTACCAATTGCTGCAATCCCCACTCGAAGCGGAAAATATATTTCCCACAAATGTAACATGTTTCCCATCCTGTGCTTAAGTGTTCCTAGATAAACCGGGAAATAAACCAAACTGAACACGAGTCCAGAAAGTTGGCCAACAGGAGTGAAATAGGCCGACTTGTTTGCCTTGCCATTGTTGGTAATGAATCCAACGACATATTTGTAAATATGCCCGTGCCGTGGTAGAGCAAACATATATCAGGGTTCATCCATCTTGCCCCATCCAAGCACTTTACATGTTTATGTACTCCTATGTGGCACATTCGTTTGCGGGGGATGTGATGACGCGTGTGCGGCAAGTAAACCGCAAAAATATGTCATAATATTTGCTTTGCCAGTCTGGGCGATCCGTTTTATATTATTATATGAGAGTACACTCGTGCTCCGCCTTTTCGCCGGCTCGCAGTCACGTGTTTAACATAAAATTTAAATAAAAATCGCATACAATATGTAAACGGTTACATGTACTTCCTGTGGTTGCTGCTACCCCGAGTCCAACGCTCCACAGGATACACTCGTATTTTGCGGGCTTGGGCCCATTTCCCAGACTGCTTATTGTTACAATCGTGGACTCGTCTGGCTTTGGTAATATTTGTAATTTCCGTCTGCTAACGCAATTTGCGAATTCAGTGCCTTTGGCCTGGCCATTACCATTTAGCAACTAAATCAGCCAAAATCTTGCGAGATAAGCCACAACATATACACATTTTATGCAAATCAGGCTCATGAGGAATGGCCGGGGGCTCTTTTTTGGGGCTCATGGGTGCAGGGCAATTCGGAATCATTTTTGTGAGCTAATTCTACTGGAACTGCTCGGCCAGATTCATCTGCCGCACTATGGTAATGATGCTGAAGGCGAACTTGGCCACCTAAAACGGGCCAAATGTGAGCTAGGAAGCAGAAAGTTGGCAGCGCCGAGGGAACCTTACGCTTATGTTGCTGTTCATGGAGATGGGAAAGATGCCGCCGGCAATGAAGATTATTGGCTGCTGGACATGGTGCATGAAGTGCACCAGAGTGGCCTTGTAGCGTGGCTCGGCGTCCACCCAGTTGGACTGGAAAATCTCGTTGGACAAGTTCTGGGCATCGTCGATCAGCATGTTGCAGGTGTAGCAGAAGGGGAAGGTCTGCAGCAGGATGGTGATGACGAACAGGAGCGAGGCCACGCCCTTCCAGAAGTTCGAGAAGAAGAACACGTTCACCAGGGTCAGGCCCAAGACGGAACCAATCAGGGCGAACTGCACGAAGATGGTGCGGGATATCATGGGGCGAATCATGTCGCAGCACCTGGAAGATAGCCGTAACAACTTAGAAACGCGTTCAGCAGATCCTCCAGCAAGCCCTACTTCAGTATGGTCTTGTGGTCCAGCACGCAGTTCACCAGATCCTGGTAGTTGTCCGCCTCGCTGCGCTCGGGATCCGTGCGCAAGTTGCGCACATGATCCTTGAGCACCTCCATGTGCGCCCGGAACATAATGGTGAACATCAGGGGGTACGTGTCGGACAGCTGGTCCTGCAGCACGGCGAAGGACATGGTGATGTACTCGAATATGGCCTGGATCCACAGGCTGCCCATGCCGTCGCGCCAGTCGATGAAGGGATTGTAGACGGACCACGGCGGACGACCACTTAGGGCGTAGGACAGGAAAGTGGAGCCCGCGTAGCCGCAGTAGATGAAGCTGTAGATGAGAAAGGCGTAGTTGCAGCGGGCCACCATGTTGTGGATCCGCTCGCGATCGCTGTCGTTGGCCAGCCGCTTGTCCAGGGCGTCCAGCAGGAGCTCCGTCTTCCGCAGGCGCCAGAGGAAGAGGTAGGTGATGGTGGACTTCACCGAGGCGCCGTACACATTGATGCACACCTGCAGCGAGGTGAGGAACTCGCCGGGCGTGAAGTTCTTGAACTCCTGCACGTAGCTGATGATGAAGCCCACGGGCAGATAGAACACCCCGAAGGCGAAGGGCACACAGGTCCAGAAGAGGTACACGTAGCGCAGGACTCCCTCCTTCGGCGGTATCCACCCGATGAGCCACATGGCCCGGTACAGATATACATTCCCTTGGCGGGACTGCACCTCCTCCGTCAGCGGCGCCGGTTTGATCAGCCGGAACACAGCCATGTTGCCCACTGACCTGCTCGGCTCCAGAACCTGCACTTTATAGCCGGCTGGCAAGCCCCTCAATGGAACAGGTGCTCCATTCCCGGGCAACAGGCACGCCCCTTCGTTTTGTGGCCTGTAATTAGGCTTCACCAACGCCAGCCAGGTGTTAAGTATTTAAGGGGATTTATAATTGAGGTGCAGGCAGGCCTGCTAACTGTCAACCAGCTTAATAGTTAATTGTTGGGCGCCCTGGTTAATAAACCAATCAGGGGGCCAATTGAATCAACTTTTCAAGCGGCAATTTAAAACCACAGCATTACGGCGGCAATTGGTGTCACTCTGTCAAATTATTGGTGTTGTATATAAATCGAAGTGATTACATAGAAGTTACTCAAAGGTTAATGGGAACTTGGTTCGCTTCACATCACGACAAGGCGCGGAAAATGCTCGGAATCCTCGAGTGTGTAATCACTTCTGGAGAGCTGAGTGGATGTGCAAACACTACGGATACTACGGAGTGAAAGTGTCGGGCGGCAAATATTGGGTTAGGCGCCTTTCTTTGCAGTGCACTCCAAGGATCTAAGGATTTATGGCGCCATTGCTCCTGTCACTGAAGAACTTCTCGCCCAGATTCATTTGGTTGACGATTGTGATGATGGTGAAGGCGAACTTGGCCACGGCAATGTTGCTCTGCACCGAAATGGGGAATATGGAGCCGGCTGTGAATTGAATGGGCTGCTGAGCCCGCTGCAGGAAATACAGAACCGCCGACTTATAGCGCCTGTCCGCCGCTATCCAGTTTGAGTGGAACAGGGCGTTGCCGACATGGACGGAGTCCTGGATCAGGTGCTCGCAGAGTATGCAGAAGGGAAAGGACTCCGTGCAGATGGCCACGATGAAGGACACGTTGGCCATGATCGTCCAGATGGTGTTCGGAAAGAACAGGATGCTGATGGCCGCCAAGCCCAGGTCAATGCCAACCAGCATGAACTGGGCGAAGATAGTGATAGACAGGATGGGTCGTATGATGTGGGCGCACCTGGAAAGGTTCGTTGTTAACGGGAATAGCCAGAGCAGGAGGCAGCACATCTTACTGTATGATGGTGCGATGATCCTGAATGCAGGCCACCAGCTGCTCATAGTGCTCCCACTCACTGCGCTCCGGATCCTGGCGCAGATGGGCTATGCGATCTGCGAGAATAGCCAGGTGGCAGCGGAACAAGGAGATAAACACTATGGCATAGGTGTCGGATATCAGCTCCTGCATGGTGCCAATGGAGACCACACAGTACTCCAGCACGGAGGCAACCCACAGCTGCCAGTGGCCATGGCGCCAGTCCACAAACGGGTTGTACAGCTGCCAAGGAGCTTTGCCAGCGAACACCGAAGTGAACAGGTTGAGGAAGCAGAAGCCCAGGTACGTGGACAGGAACAGCATCACTATGAGATTCGCCCGTGCCACCATCCTGTGGAAAGTGCGGCGCTGTGACGGCGTAACACATCGCTGGTCCAAGGACGACATGAGCTCATTCATGCGCCGGAAACGCCACATCTGGGAGTAAGTCGCACACGTCTTGATCACGTTCCCGCTGCAGTTGATGACCACCTGCAGGGAGGTCAGGAACTCCGTCGGCGTGAACCTGTCGAAGTGCTTCACATAGGTGAGGCACAGTCCGAGCGGCAGGTACACGATGCCCAGCCACATCGTGGTCAGAGTCCACAGGCAGTAGATCCATCGCAGCAGACCCTCCTTGGGCGGCGTCCAGCCCATGAAGAGTGCGATGCGGTAGAAGTAGTCACTGGCATCCAGGGAGCGGACCTCCTGGTCGAATGGCGCCGTTTGCAGGCGCTTGAAGAACTTGCTCATCTTTGCGGAACTGATTCAGTACCTCTGGAGTGCAGATTCGCTGGAGGGGTTCTTATAGGGCAGCATTGCCGCTCTGATTTGCTTTTAATGTCGCGTCATTTTTGTTTTATTCATCAGAGAAGTGCCGAGTCAAGGCTGCGTGTTTGCACTTATAAAGTCATTAGTCGCCGGATTGTCTTAGGCAACGCCAACCGTCAAGGTGAAGCACTCGGCGAAAAGCTGAGTTTCCCTAGTGCTTGTGCGTTGAGTTACATGTGGCAGGTCCTCCGATTTCTCGCCGTGTACGCCTCGTGTAGCTGCTGACTGCCGTGAAAGGCGTATCGATTGCTGGGTCCTCTAATTACTGTTTGCATAATGGATAGCGCTATTGAAATCCTTCCGTATCCTTGCAGCCTTTCATCTCTACTCGAACCGCACGGAGGAGCGCATCGAGGACGACACGCTGGCCGTGAAGTACGAGGACGGAAGGTGGTCAAAACCGTACTACGACTGCGGCGGAGGCAACATCTGGATGCTCACCTACACGGTGCCGTTCTTTGGCTTCGAGAACGGCACCTACCACTTCAAGTGAGTAGCGAAATCAGTGGCCCATCAAGTCAAGTTTTTTATTTATTTATTATAATAGATAGAGTAGTTTACAAAACCAGCCTAACTTAATTATTATGGCTATGTTGGTGGGCAATTGCATTGTATCTTAATCTTAATCATATTGGGCAATGGGCTAAATTATTTATGTGTTTATTATGTACATATGTATTTTGTTTTTTAGATTTTATGGTATAATTCTTTTTTTTTTAGAAAGAGTGGGATTTTTTGTATGTTATCTGGGTCGGGGCTGCCAAGAAGGTTTAGAGGGTTATTATTGTGAGGTATGGCTTGTTTGGCTTGTAGGATGGGCATGAGTTTAGAATATGGTTAGACACTGGGTGTCTATAGATTGGCATTACTTGGCATTTCCACCCAAAACTATTATAAATGGTCATGTAGTTTGTAGACATATCTTCGCAGGAAGATACGGGCTTATTAGCTAGATATATTGCGCTCCACATTGTTTTCCGCACAATCTGGCTTAACCTTTGGCCACACATTCACATCCCCACATGAGGATTAAGGATTCCTTTTCTGCTGGCAATGCAAGTGCTACGGGTACATGCACATGACGGATGCCGCCGGATGAGTATTTTATAAATAATTCGCAGCATGGGAAATTTGAAAGAAAAGTGCAATGGAGCGCCAAGTGGCAGCCGAGCAGTGCAGTTTTCGCAGCGAGCAGCCGCTGCTGGCAGCGACAGGCGAATGGAAAGCCGGAAAAGTCGGAAAACTGAGCGAGTGCCAGTTTTTGGCTTTTGTCTACAGCGGACCGAGTAATTGAATTGCTGAATGGCTGCTCTTGGGCGCCCTTTTCGGGCTGACTTGGGCTGGCTGCCCGTGTGGCACGTGCAATGTGCCACCAACCGAGTTTGAGTTTTAGTGCTTGCGTACTTTTCCCCAAATCGACTGACTGGATGCACATTCCGCTCACGCACCGACCCAAAACACAGTTCTTTGGTCGGCGCACGGCGCCTTGTAAAACTTTCCACTCTTTCAAGTAGCTCGACTTCGCTTTTGGCTTAAATAATTTCCCGCTTTCATTTCCCTCAACTAGTTTTGTGTCCCTGCTCAACGGCAACTTTTTCAATTGAATGATTTTGCGATCAGGAAAGTTGTAGCTATCTGGTTTGAACGCGGCTCACACTGTCGCCGATCCACAAATCTTAAACCCATAAATAAAACAATTTTCCCAATTCACGGCATTGGGGAAAATGCCGAGAAGTGATCCACTTTGACGAGAGCACGTTGCATTAAAGTTGCGAAAGTAAATGGCAATGCTTGCCAGCCATCGCACTAATGGCAGCTGTTAACTATCAAAACCCTTTCATACTCACACCCGCAAGTGGGCGTGGCAGTGGGCCGCACTTCCACTCTGCTTCATGCATAATTCGCAATTATCAATGGCTGGCAGCAGACAACAGCAGAGCACAGAGCAGATTGCGAAAGCAAAAGCACGGCAAAAGCACAGCACATTTTGGCCAACAAACTATTTTCACTTAGTGGCCGAGTTAGTGTCGGTAGGGAGTGGCCAGGATTACGTGGCTTTTGTTTTTCGACCAACCGAAATTGCTTTTGACTGGCTGCAGAGGGTGGAAAGTCACTTTCATCGGGCGTTTTCAGCAATGATTTAAAGTCTTGGATTTAGACAGATTGGCTGGAAAAGCCAGAACGAGTTTATTTACTTTTCTAAATGAACACTTTAAATGGTTACCTGGTTGCCTGGTTACCTGGCTTATTTCAGCTGCATAACGCCGTGTACATCTGCTCATCTCCCTTGCTATTTGTTCAAGAAGAACACATCCTTGGTCTCGACCATCCGCTGCTCCACCGGACTGGCGGTGGCCCAGCCCTCGGCAGTTGGCTTATAGCAGTAGCAGGGATACACCAACCTGGTTCCATCGGATTCGGGAGTGGCTCCTGGCCGGGGAGTCGTCGTAAACCGCAGCCTCTGGTGCCCTGGATAACGTGATTATTATTTACATTTGGAAATGGTTGAATGTCTGATGTGATTTGATTATGGTTTAAGATGCGCAATCAAAAACGCAAATCATATGTGCTCTTGATTGGCATTAAAATTGATTAAATTGAAATGCATTTGGCTGCGGGCAGCTAAACACGCAAACAAAAGCACAGAGTCAGAAACAGAATCAGGTTTTAATTAAATGCAATTTTCCGTGGTATTTCAAAGTTCACTTCTAATCTATATCGCATTATCTCCCCACGACTCTTTAATTGTTATTTATTTATTAAACATTTGGCCTGTACTCACATAGCGACTGGTAGTACTGTTTGTGCCACCAGCTCAACTGCCGTCTTGGCGACTCGGAGCGCAGTAAAGTGGTCCCAGAGGTCGCAAGACCCAAGAGCAGTAGCACCAAGATGTGGAGCCACTTGGAGACCATATCTGTTTGCCAATATTTCACCCAGTTGCCGCCCCTTTGGGGAGCTTGTCTAATGGCCTCCGTAATTATTGCAAGCACTTCAGTTCGCTGTAAGTAGGCGTTTAAAATTTAATTACACACGCCTGTGAGGGATGCGCTGCTCCATTCCGCAGCTACTTTCACTGCCAGGTGGCAGGTGGAAGGTGGACTTTTCAAAATTTAATTAAAGCAATCAATTATAAAGTTGGCCCCCCTGCCCCCTCACACATGCCTGCTTGGTGTTCGATGACTTGCCACGCTCGATAAATTTCACACGCAGCCGGCGGGAGAACTCAGGGGTCAGAGGTCGCAGGTCGCAGGTCGCAGTTCGCAGAATACCGGCTTTGTGAGGCTGCGATGGAGAACAAGGCTCCAGGGCAGGAAGCTGTCTGCCGCTGGCGGAAGCCCAGCAACTGCCTGCAATTAGTTGCAACATAAATTTGGCCGCCGAGTGGTCGGAGGCACTGTGGGTCGACCGGAAGATGTGGCAAGCGCGGCTAATGCTGCAGTGTCTCTGGGGAAAAATCAACCTATTTCGCCAGTGAGCTTACACACAAAACCATTATAATTCTGCTCAACTACGTATTTTCTTGGCATTCAATATACAGTGGTGGAAAAAATAATAGAAACGCGTTGGTTGAATCATTGATTTTAAATTTTGTGCTCAGAACTAAAGTAATATTTACGTATATTTCACAATAAGCAACAAAAATATCGCTATGTACCGCAAATAACAAGAGCGAAATCAACTCAAAAAGAAGAGCACAATAAAGTGCCGTTATGAGTGGCTTATGTGCTAACGGTTTATCCACACACACTTCGAACATAATTAGTAGTTTTGTTTTACATGCAGGCGCGATTCTTGTTTCTATTATTTTTTCCACCACTGTATGTTCAATATGCGGGCGCCCAGAAGTATGCAACAAACAAAGTGGAAAGTCAACCTGCTGGACACCATTATTGTTTACTGGCTAAAAGCCAAGCTAAATAGTTAGGGGTAATATGCACCACTGTACCACTGTAGCGGTCCTGCTGAATTAATGTGGAAATGTTAAAAGTTCGTTAGTTCATTCTAGTTTGCGCCGCGTGGCAGCTGCACATTGCGAATGGTTAGCCTGGTGGATGGAATGCAGTCCGGAGCAGGAGGACGTCAAACAAAGCTCATTTGTTGCAGCGGCTTGCGGCGGGGAGCCGGGGGGCAGGAAGCGCAAAGTTGAGCTGTAGCTCCGGGTAAAGTGGGCTCCTCATTCGTGAGCATGTCCGTGTCCGGCTGGTGTTAATAATGTGCTGCTATCAGTTTCCCATTAGTTGGCGGAATTAATTTGTTTACGTGGCGGCGGAAGCTAGGAGCACAAAAAACCAAAAAAATAAGGGAACACTAAGCGAGGAGCGTGGCGGAAACTTGCTAATTAATTGAATTTGCTATGCGGTGTGTGTAGCTGCCTCATTTTTCTTAATTGCATGAAATATGCAGGCTCGCAGCCGGAAAAGCTGGAAAAGCCGGAAAAGTCGGCAAGCCAGGCCAAGCCGTGCAATAAGTATCCCATTAAGTTAGAGTTAATTTTATTATAAATTATTTGGCCAAACGGGCGCTAAAGGCACAAATCACATTAGGCGCCCGCTGCGCAAGGACACAAGAGTCCTGCCACCAAGGACCTCCAGCTGCGGCAATAATTTTATTTGATTTCATTTAAGTTTCGCTTAGCGCTCACAACTCTGCGGGCGCCGGCAAAGTTTCAATATTAAACAGGGCCAACGGGCCAACGGGTCAACGGGCGAATGGGCGACTACCAATGTGGACTGTAATCCCAGCATTGTATTTACTTGACTTATGCTGCAATATGGCTCAAACATCTGCCCCGCACCACCCGCTTCTTGGGGACTCAGCATAATGATGCAAACGGAAACGGAAATATCAAATATCAGGCAATAAGCCAGCCTTTGTAAGTCGGCAGCAGGCACTGAATGTGTGCTTGATTGTGGATTTGCATGTGCAACGCACTGCACTGACTTCCAGAGAGCCAAGTGCGCCAAAATTCGCCTTTCCCGTTTGTGGGCTTTAATGTGGCCTCGCTTTAAGCCATGTTTCAGCGCCTCTCGTGCGCCCAAAAGGTTTGACATCCATTTCGGTGCTGTCATCGGGCCGTATTTTAAATTAGTTTGTAAATGAAGGCCGCCTAGCTGGCTGGCAAATATGGCAGATTAGAAGCTTTGCTCAGCGTTGTCGCCATGTCCATTTTCCGGCCAGTTGACAGCAACGCCTCAAAGTCGAAGAGCGATTGCATCTTTGCTAATTGCAAACATGCCAGGAAATTTAAGTAATCAGCAGATAAAACCATAAGCTTGGAAAAGTTGTCACGCATCTACATAAATAATGGTAACATTATCGTAATAACCAGGGTAGTAACTTCTGGATTTGGCATTTTTAGGCGGGTTTTCGAAGTGGCGTCCTGCCAGCACTGATTCACTGCTCACTTTGCCAGCTTTGCCGGCTTCGCCAGCGAGGTGCAAACTACAAACCTGATTATGTGCATTACCAGCCACGACCGAAAATTGGGCACGCATGGCGTATACGTAACGTGGTGCTGGTGGAGCAGATGAGTTGTTTACAAACTGGCAACAAAACGGTATGCGTAATGTGGCTGGGATTGGTTGGCTGGGATGGTACAGCGCATTACGTTGCCAGCAATAACGTTGATGCCATATTTTGGTTACGCGGCACTGAACAGCACCATCTTTATGAACTCACAAATGGAGCAGCCAGGGAACACTGCTGTCGCCGGTTTTAAATAGCTGGCACATGCCTGTATGGCGTGTAATAGGATGTGGTAGCTGCTAGCTGGAATAGCTGGAATGGGGGAAATCCCGGCAAGAAAAGCTCTGCAGATGCATTTCACTTACTCACGTAGTGCGTGTTTGTTGCACGTGTTCCGCATCAGAAGCTGCACTCCTGCGAATCCCTAATCCTGCACAAAAAGTGCAAAAGTGCTGTTATCCCATACTCAAAACGCACTCGAAGCGGGACTTAATCAAAACCCATTACATGATGTACATACATGATTTAAGTCAATAGTTAACAGTTCATTTGAATTCAACAGGCCCGGCAGAAACCATTAGCAATTTGGTGCACAGACTCCATGTCGATTATGGCTCATTTGTAGGCATTAGGCCGAGTTCTCCGAAAGGCGTTTGTCATATAAATCAAGTATCCGCCAGATAGGCAAACATTGTCACATCAGCAGCCCAAGGCGCAACTAATAAATCAATAAGAGACACACACTTGTGTCGTTGTGTATTTATTTGTGGCACGGAAGCAGGCAAACTCGTTCGGTCGGCTCAATCAGCTTATTTTCTAATATCCGTTTACAAATTATCTTCAAAAACTGTCAACAACAAAGCCAGACAGACAAAGGGCGACGGCATGAGTAGGGAAAATGAAACCACAGCAAATAAATGGCATTGGGCAAAGGCAAATAAGAAATGGGAATAGCACACGGACACACGGACACACGACCAGGCGAACTTGGCCGAGGAAAACTGGCCGGCCAGTCGGGTTGCAGGACACAAAGGCGTTGGGATCAACTGGCCGGGAATTAACATAATCATTACGATAATGTAATATGGCCATTGTGCAGCCAGTCCCGCCGCTGTGCATTTCCCAGTGGTCCCTTTTCCCGAATTTCGCAATCAATAAGTTGTCAGAAACAATCAAATAAATACAAACTGATATGTCAATATTAACTGACAGCAGGCACTCCGATCCCGGGCATCCGAATCCCATCCGAAACCATCCTCACCCGATCCCTGGGCCACCGGATATGGCCGGGACAAACACATTATGGCCGACGGTGGGTGGCCTTCGAGAAAGTCGGGTTATTGAAAAGAAAACGAGGACGAAAGTTCATGTGAAACTTTTCCCTTTGAACCAACGAAATGGAAGTCACCCTTTCCGAAAAGCCGCCCTGCTCCATAATTGGGTCCATTATATTTTTCAATTTAAATGTGAGCTTGTTCAGGTTTCTCTCATAGCAGCAGGCAAGTTTAAGATTTATGTTGTTTTAAACAAAGATAAAACTAGCAAGCAAGTCAACTTTCCCAGTAGCTCCTCCATCAAGTCAAGTGCAGACACAGTGCACTTTTGCCGCAACATTAAATGTCCGATTTCTGTTTCATCGGAAGCCCAACAGAAATTCCTGCCACTTTAAAAGCCTTGAGGAGCGGCAAGTGCCGAAGGCATCATGCCGCAAGAAAACTTGGCCCGGGGAAGGGACGACGCCATGGCCACAGCTCCGGCGTGAAAATGCGGACGAGTAGGCAGGCCGAGATTATGCGTAAAGTTCTACATGTGTTCCGGCCGGGAGCCTCCAGCTGCCGCCCGCCAGGATTCTGCTTAGGTATGCGTGTAATTGGGTGACTGCCCATTGCCGAGGGCGACCTTTGCGCAGGATATGGGTTTCCAACTACTGGCGGGGGTCGACGGCTTAGTGCACCCTTTTCATGGCTTTATGTCTTTGTAAAACGACAAGGCCAACCCCGTCCCATGTCCACATCCCGTCAACGGCAGCAAGAAAATAATTTTCTGCTATTTTTCCGGACTTCGGAAGCCGGAACCAACACGCATGTTCTTTTATCCTTTTGTGCCAAATCGCACCCACCATCTACGGAGTCCTAGACATATGCACAATCAGAGCGGGAATTTATTGTTTGTTATCGCTGCGGATTGGCCGGCCCACTGGACACCCAAGTCCACGTCCATGTCCATAAATATCCGCCGATGTCGGCGCACCGTTCCTATTGAATCCAGTTATAAATGGCGCCATTTGGCTTAAGTGCCGCCCAGTTGATTGTTAAGCTGACAAATTAATAACACAAACTCCTAACGCCTTCAGCTGCTGATTCCACGTTCCTCCTCCCGCAGGGGCACATCTGGCATCGATATCGACCTGCGCCGCGTGGACATCGACCAGTGTCCTCAGCGCCACACGCCGGGTACCAAGCGACCGCTGA